GCCGGTTTCCCCGTCGCCCCTCACAGTGGTGTAGATGGGCCTGTGTCTGCAGTGATTATCTCCAAAGGAGGAACGGGAGATGAGTGGACAGATGGCGGACCTCTCCCAGCCGGGCAGGCCCAGGGCAGCCCCGGTCCAGGAAGCTCTCTACTGTAGCCCGGGCTTCTTGGACCCCCCTTCCTGCGAGGACCCCCAGAAGCCACTGCCTGCTGGGTGCCAGGTGCTGGGGTGCTGAGACGCGGGGCGCGGGGACACTCCGCAGGGGGGCCGGCCGCCAGGCTGTCCTGCAGCGCCGCCGTGTGGCCGCCGCGGGGCTCGCCGCTGCCCAACCGCAGCCGGGGACAGCCGCGAGGCTTCCGGAAAGGCTGTGGACGCCCCTGCGGACCCGCGTCTGTTACTCTCAAGGCCCTAAGAGCCGTGTCTAGACACTTGACCTGCTGCGGTTCTGTCCCCACTCCCGTGGGGCCTGCAGCGGTCAGCCTCAAAGCAAACCCCCGCTGGGCCTTGCAGCGTCCCCCCTGCAGCCCCTCCCGGGCCCCCCTACTGCAGCCTGCCCTGGGCCTACCCCACCGTAGTCTCTCCCCAGCCTCCCCCTACAGCCCCTCCCGGACCCCCCACTGCAGTCTCTCCTGGGCATACCCTCTGCAGCCCCAACCTCTGGGAGCTGCCTCCCTTCCCAGCCCTTCTGAGCACGCATGCCCTGGGGGGCTCCTGCAGGCCCACCCCCGCGGCTGCTCGCGTGGCCACTGCAGCGTCCACACTACGGACGTGGACGAAACACCGGTTCCTGAGTTCACACCCCGCCCAGGGATCTGCCTGGATTTTTCGGACTCGTTCTAGGCTGGTCTTCGGCTCAGCCCACATGCTCTGCTGTTTCTATCTGCGCCGCCTTGGTGTGACCCCCGAGGCCCCTGAAAACCTACCGCGCGTGGCCCCGCGTCAGAAGTGCTCCCGCACCGCACCAGCCAGCCCCAGCTCGGCCTCCGCTGGGGCGTCCTGGCCCCACAGCCCACACGCAGGCCGGGCGTGGGACGGCTGGCATCCGGGGACGCCAGGCGTCCGGGGACGGCTGGCGTCGGGGGACGGCTGGCGTCTGGAGAC